GCTTAGCGAAATTTGATTGGCTAAATCTATGGTAGCCATCTTGGATGGTACACACACACAGTTCTGCGTATTTCGAACATCGAATACATTGCGGTTAGCGCTCTAGTATTCTTATTATACCTCTATGGTATCCTCCTCATTTTCATGGCAAAGAGGGCAGTATTTATCAACAGTGAATCATATTTACATACGATGGCATTTAAGTTGGAGGGTATTGGATCTTGCTTTAAACTTTAAACTGCTTCCGTAGAAATCAGTTTCATTTTTTAAATAATCCTCCATTTTTGGGGAATTTCTTAATTCTAATATATTGACTGCATTACTTTACTAAACCAGTTGACATGACTCAATCCAGATGTTTCTATGTTTAATGTACTAACCCACGTAGGACCAGTGGTGTACGGGTAAAGAATTCATGCATCTCACAATTATTCAATGACTTTCTCACCGTATCTAAAAATTTATATCTCATGCTCTGCTTCAGTACATTTTAAATACATTGAAGCGTTGAATAAGAGTTTTGGCCACCTGTGGATTTCCATATATTGTAGCCTTGAAAAATAATTTACTCTTGTATATTGTTGAATGGTAGGCCTATGGATAGGTTGCCACCCTAAGTCTCCGAGTAGAGCTTCTATTTGGGTGTTGCAACTTGCCTTTAATATATATCTGCCATGGTTGTTTGTAAGCTTTCGATTTTTTTCATATCTGTGTAGCATGGAACCCAAACTAAGCAGCATAATTTACAAGGTATAGCAAGTGTACGCCATAGAATATCCCCCATAAACAACACGATTAAAATCATTTTGCTCATCTATGATTGATCGTATGACAACTTAAATAAAAAATAGTTGTGCTTATTGAAAAGCAGACATGATAGCTGCAAAAATTATAAATACTGTTTCAAACCTTCGGTGGATTGAACGAGGGCTGTGAAAACCATAGAGGTATGAAATTACCGAAAGCTTGACTTGCATCTGATAACAAAGTGGAATATTGAATTGAACAAGTAGCTCGTACCGTATACCAGTTGCGATCCATAAATTCGAAATAGAGGGAGGGATTTATAGATGGAGGGTCCAGACGACCTCAGCCCCATCATGGTTGGGACTGAGGTAAGAGATTTTATAATTATGGCATCTGGAAATGGCACTTGAATTTGAATATCATTTTCTCCTTTTTTCCCTTTTTTTCTAAATAATTTTGAAAACAATTAGGGGTCTTTGGCCCTTGAATCCGCCATGTATACCCGATTTTTTATTTCAACCGAATAGGGATCTTTTGCATAGCATTTACAATAAGGATGATTTTTGTTATTAAAAACTTCGTAGAAAAAATTCTATAGGCCTCACTAACTCCTTATGTATTATTTAACATTTTCCTCTTTCTTTCCACGTTTATTCCAAAATGCATCGCAGTTAAAAACTGAAATACAACAAATGGTTACAATTTACAGATTTAAAAATTACAAATATAAAAATATTAAATACCGGTATATTGAAAACATTTATTTAAAAAAAATTGCCAAATTCTATCTGACCTCAAACTCTCTCAGCTGTCTACCCCGTTTGAGTTAATTATCTCTCACTTATATACAGATGTTTGTTGAAACCTCTAATCTTAAACTTGACCTCTGCTCGTCTCATAACCCCACATGGGATATCTTACTTAAATTCCCCATTATCGGTCCCTCTAATTTCCCAAAAGGCTTTGGCCTACAACACACATTGCTCTGATCGTCGTCATTTAGGCCTATCTGTCATTTGGTTGTTTCTGATTTTAATTTGTAAATCATTTAAAATAGTGACTCAAAAAGTTCAGTAAGTTAATCACATCGAAACCTTTATTAAGTTATTCATTCTGGTTATTAAGCATATCTATTTTATTTATTTAATCATTGATGCATCATTTCGTAGAGATAAAACGTTAAAAAAAAATAAGAAATTGAATATAGAGAGATGTAATCTGCTTTTATGGAATACGAACTCAATGTAATTTGTTACTGGTACCTATGCATACTTTACTGCTACTCTAAAGGTTTAGATGAGCTACTCAATGTTAACTATGAACACATTAAGGTATAAACTGAAAGATCAAGTGAACTTTGTCGATTGGGTGTAATATGTAGCGTCAAATGAAAAACATAATTGATCATCTTTTGCAATACATTATTCATTCAATATCTCCAATAGGGTAATATCATATGGGGATAACTAAGATATTTTTTTTAAAAATGTGTGAGTGTAATATAGGCAGGTTTACAAAAAGTTACCAATATTAATGTCTTGTTTCAGTATAATAAATTTCCATGAACCGTATGCAACATTCATATACAATTTGCCTCTAAAAGCCCATTTTTAATTAACTAAATATTATGTGGAACACAATTTAACTAAAAGGCCCTATTTTATTTTGTTTAACTTAATTTCTCCAGTGCTGCTTTTCCAGCTATGTTGAACATTGATGCCCTCATGACAAAAAAATACAGCAATGCCAATCACACTACATAAACATAAAATATAATCCATAGAACAATTTCAGTAGATAAAAACAATAACAAAATAAGGGGAAAGTACATAGTACGCTTTGAAAATGTTTTCCTTGGAAAAAGAAGAATACGAAGAATGGCAAATATAAGCAGAAATATTACAAAAAATGATGAATTATGTAATTTAAACCGTGCTTTTATTTTTTAACTTAGGATGGGTAACTGAAAAAATGAAGTTCTGGGATGCCATGTTGATTAATTTTGAGTTAATATAAGGAGGAGCCAAGCGATGAATAGCACAAACATCAATGAAAGGCATCTAAGCTGGTCAAATACTATGAAGTCTAAAGTGATGTAGAATTTACGTTACACTCAAAGATTTCAGTATCCTAGGCAAGTTTAAACATTTTGTGTAAAAAAAAACCCATAAAGCTTAATATTGTTAGACATCTACTTGTTTTCTTTGCTTGTGTTTTTTTGTTCATTATAATATGTATCAATGATTGTTACTATCCTTTTATTGTTAAAGAGCAGTTTAAACAAGCTTCGGATTCTAGACTGTTCTAGAAATTGACCTTTGTACTAAATGTTCTCTTTGCACAATGGTTGAATAAATATCACCTTAAATTAAATTTCTTTGTGAAATCATGGGTGAAATGCACGCGAACGTGTTTGCTCGAAAGTTAAATTTTAACTGAATCGTTGCGTTGTTTGATTATCGCATGAGTAATACATCTCATGAGTAACACAACGATTAGGCATGCAGACGATCGCCATTTGTATGCATTTTGTTACGAAACTGTTCGTTTGCAGGGCAAAATAACTCATAATTAGGATATAAGTTATATACTTAGGTCTATAATAATTATAAACCTATATTATGCCATAGGCCACTGCAAATTTATAATGTTACTACATCACTGAAGTTGTTTTAGTTTCCTTTATAAAACATTCTTCCTCTACCTTTTATCTGACCAAAAGGACCCAGGGATATCACCATGGTTTGCCCCACATATTGGCTGAGCGGGGTCTTTTTACCTTTTTAACCTACTAACGTGTTAAAAAACATAAAATACTTTCTCCCTAAAACGTCAAATACTGTATAAGCGGACGGGGCCTTTCCTCCAGGTAATAGTGAAACGAGCAAGCCTTAACCAGGGCCTCAGACCTCTTTGTTACGCCACTACACGTAAGCCTATTAAAAAAAAGCTATGAAAAATGGAAAATGGACAATATTCCGTTAGGCTTATATCAGTTAACTTTACATTCTTCATCACTAAAGTTATTTTTAGTTTCCATGATGAACCGTTCTTCCTCCTCTTCGTCCTTGTCTTCTAATCCTGTGTATGTAGACGAATACTGCAACCCACACATATATTTCATGATTACTTTGGTTACAAACACTTGGACAGCCACCACAATGGTTCCGAGAATGCAGTGCCAAGCGAAGACCATTGTAAAGAATTTGATGTTCAGATGATCATCCTCATCCCATGCGTAATCTTTACTACGTAGAGGATGGTACAACGTTGAACCAATCTGTAACATCCACGAGCCTTGAACAAACGTGGCCCAAGTGCGTAACCACGGAAGTACCTCGTCAGCCGGGAGCCATATTTCACCTGCACTGAATAGAATGCACATAAACACAATGGTCACCTCTAACAAGTGCATCTGAACGTTCAGTTCTGTTCGTCCGTGGAGATGAAAATAAAACAGCAAACATTCAATAAAGTAAGCGAACGTTAAGAACACCTGAGCCCATCTTTCTGAGCCTTTAAAGCAGGTTGCCACGGCAATTTTGGCAGCTCCATAGAACGCAAAAGCGGCCCACATAGTGCAATGCTGCCAAATATTTGAGTAAATAAAATTACCTTCATTATCAAATATTTTCCACTTCCAAGTTTTGTAAACTTGTTCACCGATAAAGCCGGAAAGAGCCAAAAAGACAACTAAAATCCCTTCAAAAGGTACATTCATACACGGCAGTCTAGCTTTCCGACGAATCCTTCGATAGTTGCGATAGTAGTTATTGAATGTTCGTTGTATTGTCCACCATGATGCCAATATCATGAATAAAATCCCAGACGCAGCGTGTCCGAAAAAACTACCCATATGTATTAATGCATCTAAACAATTTTCAAAACAGTTGAAATCAGCAGAACATTTGGTCCCAATATCAGCGTTCTCCGGT